CTTTAGCTTTTGTATTTAGTTTTCCCCTTTTTCTCCACACAGAATAACCTTATCTGAATCTAGCTATTTTTGGAATGATAATGGATTGTTCTGATGATGCTTCACTTTTGTTTGTGACACTTTTAAGAAATCTCCATATTGTCCAAGCTGTGCTGCAGCAATCTGCATGCTTTTGGGTGAGGAACATGAGTTATTCTGGTACGTACCAAGGGCTACACAGTGCAGCATTCTGTTCATACAGCAGCCAATCAACAAGTAAGATATGAGGGCAACAGCACTTCCCCAGCTGTGTACCCGAACCACTGGTGTACGTAGGAAATAATGTTTCTTATCCTGGAGGTAACATACGGCCATCAGGACTAGTAACCATTGATAACCTTTTCCTCCATGAACTTTTCCATTCCCCTGTAAATACTATCCAAATAGGTAGATTTCATAGTATAATTATACACTGGATCCTATTTATTTTGTAAAATTAGTTTTAATTGAGCCTTGGATCTTAAAGCATGTGACACAAGCTTCTGAAGACAATAACTTGCTTGATGAAATGGACAGAGAACGTGATAAGCACGTACACAGAAATATATAGTATCTCAAGCATCTCTGGTCTTTATTCTAATGAAGAGACACAATGCTATAGCTGTCAATCAACTTCATTTTAAGGGCCCCACATTTGGTCTTTCTCCAGAACAACTTTTGCTTAAGCGTAGTCCTCCCATCTTCACCCACTCCATTCTGCAATGTGATGTTTTCTTTAAATGTCCAGTTTGTCCAGTTGGTATACCTTGAACAACATTTCTATAGTACCAAGGTATATGTTTAATGAATTCTCTAACTAATGTCAGTATAATAGAGTCAATTGCATATATTGAGTTATTCTGTTAGCTAACAGATGCCAGCATTGTGTTTTTAAAGTAGAATGGGGAACTCAGGTCAATTTTCTGAATGCATTTTTTTCATTACATTTCAGCTAGCAGCATTTATTTCCTAGATTTATATACCACTTCTTACAGAGGTATCAACATGGGGAACATACAATGCAGTTACACCAAAAACAATAAAACATAATAAATTAAATTAAATACTTGTCAGCAATAAATATATATGTATACATGCACACACCACTTACTACATTTTGGAAATGTATATGAATGTGCTCACTTCTTTTGTGACCACTCCACTTCTTTTCCTACTTAGTGGAATGGCTAGTATTCCCATAAGTATACAAGCATATCTAATTTATATTGCTATTTGATGGGCTGGCTAAGGAAATATTTTCAAAGGTCAATAGAGTAGAGAATGCAGACTTTATATGGCTTTATTGAAAACATTTTTAGAAACTGATATATGAAAGGGCTATATGGATAAACATAAATATTTAATTTTGAAAGCTACTATTTAATTTAAACAGGGATTATAAATTGCTTGTAAAGTAGTATTATCAATTACTCTATATTCTAAGGGGATATATTCTATGTGGATTGGTTTAAAAATCTGTTTATTAAAAAGTCATGGATAGAGCAAACATGTGGTCTCTGGACTGCATCTAGAAGGCCATAAGATGCTTCATATTCAGAGATCTAGAAAAGAGCTCCAGCCTCAGAGGTGGCAATCCATGCTTAGAGTGTCCTCCCAACTCATTGCTGGGGAAGAAAGAACCACATTAGCTGCTTCTCTGAGGCCATAAGTGCAAACTTGGGAAAGGGTAAGGAAGGCTCACAGAGGGAGGGAGACTGTCTTTCCTTTCATACTGAAACACCACAGCCGGATGGTCAAATCCAGCTGTCTGGCTGATTTGCACAATGCGAGGAACAGGAAGCTGAAGATTATCTCAGAGCTTCTCTTGTTCTGGATAGGATGCCCACTACCCTCTGTATTTGGAGGCTTAAAGGTACAATCCTGTGCATATTTAGACAGGAAAAGAGTTACAGAATTGCCAGCATTCCCTAGGAAGCATGGCTGAGTGGGAAATGATAGGAATTGTAGGCCTTTTTTCTGTCTAAATATATATAGAATTGTAACCTAAGAGAAAAAATCCTCTGGCCTCTAGGCAGTGTCTGTGGCCCCATAGTATCTGGTAGGTTTCTCCTCTCCAAGGCTGCAAGTTCCCTCCAAAACAGAGCTGAAATTCCCTTGCCCTGGCCACCTTAAGAGCTCCACTTATGAGCCAACAGCCGTCAGACTAAGCCCTAAGGCTTGATTGGAACTACCACACACAAACAACTACAAAACTTCTGTCTTGCAATAGTCAAAGATGAGCTGTATGTAGTAAGCAGTCCAGTGGGTACCTTCAGTATCAAGAAATCACCTTGTTCGAACTTGTGAACATTCTCAGAAGTGTGCCACACTCAGCTTTGCTTTCATTTAAATCCAGCTCTGCACAAAGTTCCCTACTGGACCATGTTAGAGATGGTCAATTTGACTGATGCTTGACTAGGTCATCTCAGAGAAACTGGAAAAACTGGATACACCATTTATTCCTCTCCATCACAGATTCCTCAACAAAAACATGATCAGCCATGCCAATGGGTCTGATTCTGTTCAATAGCAGAATTTTGCAACATGCACCCAGATAATTTTGTGTTCAGCATAAGGTTCTCTGTATCATGTTAGGAATTATCATGGCTGCATGGCTATTGGCACAGTGAAACAGCCAATGACTCATTCTGTCATGAGGGACACATGTGTCAAGCAGTGAGTAAAAAACCTGAACACGTGCCCAGTGGGACAATGAGACCATAATTGAATAATTCTTCACTTCTAGATATAACACGCATGAAATTATACATCTACTAAGTATAATACCCCCCTGCTTAGGCTGAAGCAGGATAGGCTTCAGTTATAGGATAATCTAGAAAGAAATGGCAAATAGTCAAGCACTAAGGTTTCTGTCCAGCAAAGGGGCAGTGTGGATGAATGGGGATTAAGCAGTCTGATACTTTGCACAGCCCAGAAGCAGTCAAGCAGGTGACTCTGCAGGTAATAAATACTGAGAACAAACTTTTACTAACACCTTTCACCTTTTTGAACAACTTTCAAACATCTGGCAATGTTTGAAGGTAACATGGATGTACTTAACAATGAGCAAGTAAGCATATAAAAGCATATAAAGTATCCAAGCAATAATCAGTCATGCAAAAAAGACCCCAAAAGTAAACGTTTGTGGTAATGCATGACAAAATCAAGCACTCTTTTCTTCTCCAGATGCTTTTGTACCATGGTCAAATTTGGGTGTTCCCTCACTTTTATAAGTTTGTTTATTAAGGCTGAAATACACTCTCAGTTGCCATAAATTGCAGAAGTCTTGCTGCAGTGTAATTGTCCTGTTTATTATGCTCTGTGTAGTGTTTGCATAATATTTTATTAGAAGGTGCAGTTTCAAGTTTTGCTTCTGTTTCACAATATGTAGGTACAGTTTCTCAAAGCTCCTCTCCAAAGTGTTATTAGTTTAGGTCAAACCTAATTGTACAACTTTAAATGGCTTAGTTTGTTTGTTTGTTTTCATTTGCAGGCCAATTCCAAAGCATAATTAGAAATCATTCACCAGAACAATGTTTTTCAAACTAGATAGAAAGCCCTGGATTTCTTGAGAGAAAATTAGTAAATGACAAACAAGAAGTTTCCCAGCCTTTTCTTCTGCTGCACAGCCTCAGGGAAAATATTGGGTGTGTTCCAGATCACGTCAGAAGGTGACATCCTCCAATTTCTTCTGCATATGAAAATGATGGCTAACAGCCTTCACATTTGACTACATGCCTGGCATGTAGGGGTTCCTCTGCACATAGGTCAATGTATAAGGCATTCCCTGTGAAAACTACAGCACGACCTATTCAAAAAGTCATGTAAGGATCAGTCTGAAAGCTGCATCTGGTGCACAATATGGCAGCAAGAATAATAAGTGTGTTATTACTAGGGATGAATGGACTTTATAAAATCCATCCCATCTGTGTTTTGTGGATTATTAGACACCATTCATCCTAATCTTCACTAACTGATGGAATCCGATTTGGTGCAAATGTGTTTATATGCATTTGTGAAAATTTTGTAAATTTGCACTTCCCAAAATGCACAAATCCCAAAATTCATAGGATATGAAAACTTCATTTTACATATTTTTTCTATGAGTGAAAAATTGTATTTTGCACAAAATTATAGAAAAAAATAAACATGATTTGTAATCCATAGAATCTATGCAACTGGGGATAAGCCAATCTGCTGCAGAATCTGTGGATCAGATTCAAGCTCTTTTGAGACAGTTGCAGGTATTTCCAACAGCCCTTCATTATACTGATGTTGAACTGCAATAGGTATGCATTAGATAGCAAGCCAATTTCAATATCTTTCTGTTGACATATGAAACACTGAACACCATGAACCCAGTTACCTGGTGGATGATATCCCCCAATGTATTTCTATGAAGTCTCTAAGACACTTCAGAGAAGTCTTTTTCAAGATGGTGCCCAACTTTAGAAATGCCCTGCCTATAGAATTTAGAAGGCATTGATTATGGGGGGGTGTTTTAGGAGCTTGTTCACAATGGGGTGCCTTTAAATACCTGAGGGTAGTTAAAGGGTTTTTAGTGAGCTGTTGTTTGTGTGTTTGCTTTTTTGAGGGAAAATGGGATATTATAGATGGTGGCAAAAAGAAAACATTGTTTCTTCCTGGGTAATGTCTCTATTTCTCTATAGCATAGTGCCACCTATACTTACAGAACAGGAAAGCAGGAAAGGAATTGAGTTCTTGATGCACAGTATGAAACTTAGTATATAATAGATACAATTCTGCAATAAAACCAACAGTAATGGCAGTGGATTAAAAGCCTCATGCAGAAAATCCTAAATTGGTTTAATAAAAACAACACTAGCAACAAAAGGAAATCAGCTTCTCTCTCTCTGATGGGTTTAAATATACCACTGAGCTGATTTGGAATAGCACTATGTTTCTGTTAGTGATCTCTTTTCCTAATTACAAGGATTTTTGATATTAAGAGTTTGTGGTACCTGCCACAATCTCTTCCTGGACTTGCTTTGTCAGTGGCATATTTAAATCTTTCACAATTTCAACTTTTTTGATATTAAGGTCATGCCATTCATCTGCAGCCATGATTTTTGCTGCAGCCATGATTTTTGTTTTGTTCATATTCAGCCACGTTTGAAACAAACAGCTTGACAGAATTCTCTGAATCATTTTCCTCTTTAATATCTGGCCCTAGGTCAAATTCTCCCACAACATTAGATTCTATTTTGTTTCCTTCTTTTGCATTCCACTCACCTGTAATCATCAGCGTGTCTTGTTTCGTCATGCTATTGCTTTCCTGTTGGATGCCTACATCATGTTTTCAATTCAATTCTTCAGCATCTATTGTTGGAACATAAATTTGGGTGATAGTAATGCAGGTTGGTTTCCCTTGAAATCTGATTGATATGGCTTGGTCAGACTTTGCACAATAGCGTCTTACTTCCCGTGCTATATCTTGTTTCATTATTAGAACCACTGAATTTCTTCTGAACTGTACTTTGAAACACTAAAATGTCCTATTCCAGTCACTTCAGTCCACTCACACCAAGCACTGTGATGTTTAACCATTCCATTTCTTGCTCTGTTTGACTCATCCTTGTCATGCTCCATGTTCCAACTGTAAGTGTTGTGCAGTATGAGACCTCCCATTTGCCTCTGAGCATGGTAGCCATTAGTCTTCCTTTCAGCTTTGAGCTACTTTTATCATTAGCAGCACTGCTATTCACACTTGTCCTTTGCTCTTCCCCATTACTTGCTTCAGTGCCTTCTGACCTGGGAGTCTCATCTTGTGGCGCTATCTCTTGTTTCATTCTAGATTCTTTCATTATAGGATTTGCAAGGTAAGAAATATTGCGATGTGGTTTGTCATTTCTTTCTTCCACACAGTTCTCAGAAGAGTGAGCTTGAGCATCACTGCCATTGTCTGTGAAGAAGTAACCACCACTGTCACCTTCAACTATCACTGCTGCCTTCTAGCTGCTTTTCAGGAGTTTCTCCACCCTCTTCACCATTAGAAACATCCACTCTCTTCTGCTGATGTGACTGTTACTTCTTAAGAAGGAGGCTTCTTAATCTGGTGACTCAACTTCCACCATTCTGTCTTGGGTGATGCTGTTAAGAGAACAACCCAGTGAGATTGCCTGGTCTTCTGGCAGCACTGCTCCTGGCTTCTCTGACACTCCACTTCCCACACCACATTAAGACGTGCGTCCAAGTGGAGATGATTCAGAATAATTATTTAATTGTGATTCTGCCTGCGGCTTAGTACCCACCAGGTTAAAACCAACCTTGGATGAATGGGCTTCTGCTCATGGGGCAGGACTTCCTCTTGTCCTTCTCCCCTTTTCTGCCTGCTATTCCCATTCAATTATGTTCCAAAGACTCCTCCAAGCATCCAGAGCAGATTTGGGATGTGCATGGGTGGCAGTGGGGGGTGGGGCTGCCATGGGGAGGGGAAATCCATTCCATCAGTACTTTCCATTCTGCTATCAATTTGCCCTCATTGGATCCAAACCATCTTTGCTTATCTCTCCAAATCTAGGATAAGTTCAAAATGCTTGACTAAAAGCACGCTCCATTTAAAAATTAGGGTTCACCTCTAATGCATGTGTGCGAGTTAGTATATTGAAATGATAGTCAAATGCCTTTCCCATTGATCACATTGTTTCCAACAGTTTCATTTATTCAAGCCAGAATTCAAGGAGGTTTCCACCTCAGAGCCTGAGGTGCAGACATTCTCTGTTACCTTTACCACTGAGCATCCCTAACCAGCCCAGCACACTTAACACAAAGAGACAATGTCCTAGCAACTTTGTGTCTCCTTTCATTTAAATGCTATACTTAATCTGCCAGTTGCAAATGTGACATATTTGAGCTTGGCAAAGATGTATAAATAGGCCTGCCATAATAATCCCCCATCTCAGACACACACATACGCACACACAAAACAGAGAGAGAGAGCTCAACACTCTCTGTTGATCTTTGTCCCACCCAAGATACTTTGGTGCACACAATTCTTAGTTGAGTTTTGAACTCTACTAACCCGCTATAGCACATTAATGGTGTGAGGTCCCCAGGTCCCAATGTAACCCCAAGCATGTCTACTACCAGGGCTGGCCTTCCCATGAAGCAGGGTGCAACACCTGCAGCAAGCAACAGAGTGGGAGGAAGTATTAGTGCCACTGCTCCCAACCGGAGGGCCCACCGCCACTGTTCCAGAACCTCCCATTGCTGCTGCTCTCCCAGTGAAGCAACTGTTGTGACAAGAGCATACCTGACAGGGCAATTGGCACCCATCCTCTTTTGTCTCACTGCGTAGTTCTTGACAGATGCCACCCTTTTGCGCCAGCTGGAGAGCTGTACAGCCAGAAAAAGCAGTTGTGGGGTCTGGGGAAAGTCCTGGAAGCACGTCTTCCAGTCACATTGCTCTCCACAGAGCTTATGGAGCAGAGGTGAGCATAAGGGGGCACATGATGAGGGGAAAGGAAGCCTGATGTGGTGATGGCAGCAGACGGAGGCAGTGCCACGTGACGCTGGCGGTAGGATGTGTGTAGTGGCAGGAGGAGTGTGATGTGACAGCAATAGCAGTGTGGGAAGGGGCGCAATGCAGCACCTCATGTTCTCTCCCTCCTCATGCAGGGACAAAATTTGCACCAGTGCTGCTTACAGAACCAAACCCACTAAATTCAATAGCACCTACTTCTGAGTAAACATGCTGAGGATTACAGTTCAAGTTTGTGTACTCTTCCACATTAGATTCTTTGCCAGGTTTGCATAGGCTGCAAGCTTATACAAAGGCAGTTTGTTTAAAGCTGAAGGCAGTTCAGCTTTCAACTGGGTACGTGCATTTGTGCCAAATACATTTTAACTTTTTTTTAAAACTCTACATTCAATAGCACTTCAATGCAGATGGCAATCCAGGAAAATTAACCCCACAGAACAGCTGCTTTACCATAGTTATAGTTTTTACTCAGTATAATAAATCACCCCATCAACACACACAATTCTTAAGTTCTCGCTTATAGCTGTAGAGTTCCATTTAACAAAAAACCCACTAATGGTAGCTCCCAAGGACACCATGCTGGGTCATATGGGAAATATGCAGACTTATAGAAGGAAAGTTCTAGGAGCTCCCTCTTTCTTCCAAACTTTCCAAAGAAATAAATTACCTGTTTGATCCATTTATAGAAATGTAAGGATGCAACGTTTTTGTGATTAATATTAATAGCTTTTCAGTTTCATGCATTCATGAGTAGATGATAATACTAAGAAAGCATAGTTAGCAATGCATTTTAATGACACGGCTTATGCTTTATTCATAAGATACAGTCAGAAAAGTGCCCTTTCTTAACAAATAGAAAACCAATGGATACATTTTTAGCTCTTGTGCCTAATCAAGTGTCTCAATCACAGCCTTGGTTTTATATTTATTGTATTCTGATTCAATCATGTGTACCCCTTAGAGTTGCTGGTGACCTTGATGAAGAGCAGGTGTAAAATTAGAAAGGAAGATCATCATCATCATTTAAGGCTTCACAATGTAAACATCAACAACTTTCAGGACTGTGATAAAGAAAGCCCTAAGCTATTCAGCTGTAGTTCATTTATACTCCCCGGAATTGAATCCCTTCTGCTAGACAATTGACTCTCATGGACACAACACTCAGAAGAACTTGCCACCTGCGTGGAGAAGGGATATGCCAGGATACAAAGAAATACAGAAATGAAGCTGCAACTTTCCATGTGGTAGTGAATGGGGCCCATTCATACTATAGATCCAGTCTGGCCATGAGGTAGTGCTCCAGATGTTTTGGACTTCAGCTCCAAATGATCAGGGATGTTGGGAGCTGAAATCCGCAATATCTGGAGATGGCTTGCTTGCTGCCCTAGATCACTCTGTATGCCTTCATACACACAGGACATCCTTGTGTATTAAAATGAAGGTCTGAAAGAGGAAGCACTTGTACTTTCTATGCTGGTGCAGATATTCACAAACTGGTTTTGTTTTTATCCAGATTTTTCCCTTCTAGTCATCACAAATTTAATATTGTACATTGTAATTTTTCCTAAAATAGAAAGATGATTAGCAGTAAATTACCTAGTGCAAGAGTACCTTTTAGCTGCCTTACTCAACAAGGGAGTAGGCCACTAAACAAGCCACCAAACCCGTTTCATTTCATTTCATAATTTTGCTTTCCACACAGGCCCATTGGTAAAAAAGTCTCATGTGATTCTTTGCAGCTTTTCTAGATCATAGCTAAATATAAAGCTTTTGTGCTGGTCTCTATCACCTTTCAAAACTTGTAAAAATTGCAGGGTTTTCATATCATTTCTGCACCCAGAGGGCATATGCTATAGATATTTTTCTGAAATTAAGCAATTCTGGGTCATTGCTTTGTTAGTTTTCCTTCTCTGGCTTCATCTCCTCCTCTCTCCCCTTCTTCCTCTCCATCTGTTGTTCCTCTTCTCCTTCAGTATTTTTCTCCTCATGTGAATCTCAGTATTTCCATGTGTTGGAGTGGTTTCCAAACTCAGATGAAAATATCCAATCTTTCCCGTGGCTCCTGGGTGGCAGGGGAGGCATAGCAGCGCACCTGTATTTAATTCATCTTTGGATGTAAGCCACTGCTTTTTCCGTATTTTGTCTTGATCCAAAAGCTTGCCTGGGAATTTGATTGTGAATTTTCCCTCCTCACAAAAAGCACAGTCTTCCATTCTAAATACGTATTGGCATCCGCACGAACCAGTTTGCTTTCATGTGTTGCAGCTCCCAACTGAGCTATTTGCCTATGCCTGGCTGCAGTGGGTACTTGATGAGGTAAGCTGTTCATGTGTACCAGTTGATCATGAGGACTAGATCCCATTGTGAGGTTCTTTTCCATGATACATCACACTATTTGCTTTAAGATCTTGGAAACCTGTGTAAGTCACTTCAAGAGTCGTATACCACATAGAGAAGCTTGCAAGAATCATCAAAGTGGCATTGGTAACATGAGATATGCCTCTTAATAACTAATGAACATATTGGTCATACAGTCAATGGAATGTTGCTAAAGGCAGGAAAATAACAATAATTCCCTTAAAGATTGTCTTTCATTCACAAA